CTGAGCATCTTTCTCTTTGACACCATGTCTGATATCCCACGTGATCTGTCAAATACTAATGCATGAAAATCCTAACCTCAAAAAAATCACCCGTTATAATATAAAGTCGCATATTTTTGGCGACTTTTTATTTGACTTAGCAAAATAACTGAACGAATAATATTGAATATACTATAGTTTAACGCCAAAAATATGCGACTTTATATTATACTACTTATAATAATTTCCGATATTATATTATTGGTTTAGGGCTGAACATGAATGGATCTCATTGAGTCTATATTAAATTTAGCCTATTTCGTTAAGTTTAGGTCACATATGTATGTATATCTCATTTGAGGATGATTTTGATATAATTTTCGCTGACGGCAAGTAAAATATAGTTATAAAACTAATTGAGTAATCGACATATAATATAGCTAAATAAAATTTAATCGTAATTCATTCACGGTCTCGCAATAGTTTTTAATATAAAGTTTTGCCATACTTGGGGGTATTCTTCCGTCTTTGACCCTTACATGGTACAAGAGTATGAGGTGTTGGGTTACATCCGAACTTAGCCTTTCCTGACTTTTTATGTATAACTCTAAATATATCTCGATTGGCATTAGGCATTATAAACAAACGTTAGCCGAACAAAACTATTATATTTGCGAGATTATTTTGGCGAGAGGGTTGTATATAAATATATACATAGCACACATTCAAACAGATGTATTTCAAAGCGGTAAAATCGGAATATTTTGTACTTTGAAATAAATTCAAGTTCGATTGCTTGTCTAGATTTGTAAACAGTGTGGAAAAAGTCATACTCATATATTACAAGTACATTTATAGTATAACTGATTATAGACAACACTATGAAGAAAAAAATCGTTTATTGATAATCTGTCTCCCACATACAGTGGCCCACTGCCAAACGATGCAGCCGTTTCAGAAATACGAAGTCAAGTATGAAAACTACAAACATCTTGCAAAGAAATAAATGTTGGAATAATCAATTTTTTACTTCGCTGAATATTATATATATTTAACTTTATTAAAAAATGTACTATAGTTTAATTTTTATAACCTGAATATTTACTTACTTCTCACTCTATTAACACATTTATATATTTCCCCTTTACAGGATCTAAAATGAGTCCTCCAAATGTTTTAGTAACCGGAGGTGCGGGATATATAGGCTCCCATACAGTATTGGAGATGTTGAATGCAGGTTACAACGTAATTTGTATAGATAACTTGAGTAATGCGTATAGCTCAGGGTCGTCTAAACTACCGGAGTCATTAAATAGAGTTCAAAAATTGACTGGGAAAACATTAATTTACTATTGCATAGACATTACTGATAGAGATCAAGTTCGTTCTGTTTTTCAAGAGGTAAATTTTTTATTGTTTTATAATTAGTTTGACAATTCGCTAATTTCTTAACTATCCACAATGTATGATATATATGTCTCCTTTAAAGTATATTATTGATAAATTAGAATTTATATTTTTAAGCTCAACATTTTGGATAAAAAATTACATTTGTTGTTAAATTTAGTTTTTATAAAAATCAAATTTATAATCAAGATATTTCGGATAAAAAAGTTAAAGTTTTATTTTTAATTCAACAGTTAAAACTGAAATTTAAATTTTTAATCCCAAAATAATGTAAACAATTTACAAAATATTCTTTGAATGCAATTAGTTTTAATAAATATATGTTAATTGCGCACTTTTTTGCATGAATTAACCTTACTTCACCTTAAGTGTAGCATAGCTCCATATTTTTTTAACACTTTTGACATATTAACCATTTTATTTAAAAAACACTTTTATTTTTTTTATTAATTTCAACCGATAGACTTTCACTTTTTTGTTTTCTGTTATTAATTCGTATTGTATACTGACTTTCAGCACAAAATTGATATGGTGGCTCATTTTGCTGCGCTTAAAGCAGTTGGAGAATCTTGCCGTATACCGCTACAATACTATCATAATAATATGACGGGAACAAATGTTCTCTTGGAAGCTATGGCTGATAACAATGTGTTTAAATTTGTGTATAGCTCCAGTGCCACTGTTTATGGTGAACCCAAATTCTTGCCTGTAACGGAAGAACATCCAACCGGCAATTGTACAAGTCCCTACGGCAAAACAAAGTATTTTACGGAAGAAATTTTAAAGGATCTATGTAAATCCGATAAGGTGATTGACACTTTTGTTTTCAATTGTTTTTACTAATTTATAAAATTTGTAGCGTTGGGCAGTTATGTCATTACGTTACTTTAATCCAGTTGGAGCACATCCGAGTGGATGTATTGGCGAAGACCCCAACGGAGAGCCTAATAACTTGATGCCTTTTATTGCTCAAGTGGCCGTCGGACGTCGGGATGTTTTGAAAATTTATGGTTCTGATTTTCCAACAAAAGATGGAACCGGAGTACGCGATTATATTCATATTGTAGATCTCGCAGAAGGACATTTAAGAGCTCTGGAAAAATTACGAAATGTAGCTGAGACTGGATTTTTTGCATATAATCTTGGCACTGGTGTTGGATATTCTGTTCTGGAAATGGTACATGCCTTTGAAGAGGCTAGTAATCGAAAAATTAACTATGAAATAACTGATCGGCGATCTGGTGATGTGGCGACATGTTTCGCCAATGCTTCGCTGGCTGAAGCTTCTCTCGGTTGGAAAGCTAAACGCGGCATCATTGAAATGTGTGCAGATACTTGGCGTTGGCAGAGTAATAATCCTAACGGTTATGCGTCAAAATAATTTAATTTGTATTTGGCAATGAGTAACATAAGTTCTTAACATGATTGTTTGATAATACAAAATTTTTAATAGTAATTTCTAGTATACATATATGGTACAATTTAACTTTCGACAAAGTCGAAAAAAATTCTAAAAGTGTGAAACCTAAATAATAAAATAGACATATGTTCTATACATATGTTCAAAAAAAGTTAGATTGAAATTCCAAGAATATATAGTATTTTGCCTTTGCTTTCCTTCTGGGTGGTCTAAAATCATTCTATTGTCTTAAGTAACAAAGTTTAGACGAAGGTCTAGACCAATTTCTTCCATATTCAGCTTGTTCACTTAAATTCATCAAAAATATCACATATTGACCAACAGAAACCGTGTGGTCTGTGAAATTTTGGAAATTACTATCTATGTATACTCTATATTGGGGCTAGATAAAGATATGGACTGATGGCATTAATAAAATTATTATGTGTAGTAAATGTTAAGAATAATTAATTTTTAGTTTTCACAAGAGGGAACATCGAAGAATACAATTTCGAAAAAAGGAAATATACCACGCAATATGCGATAAGGGGAAAAGGCTGTAAAAGGACGCAAAGAATATGTTATATGAATAATCGATTTGCATCTTATTACATTTGAATATTACAAAAAATCGTAATTTGTATATAAATAATCTCTTGAATTAAAAAAAGAGTATTGGTAAACACCTAAGAACAAAATGAGCATTTATTAGATAAATTCTTCAATAATTTACATATGTGTGTTGTGTGAATAATATCTCAATGGTGAAAGGATATACGCCAACAATGTTCCTAGTTCCTCACTTTTGCTTTTATGCGGGAACGGTTAGATCGAAGCAAAGTCAGGGAGCGCACTGCCACATAATTATTTTTTATTGAGGGGATTTTATTTCAAAAATTTTAAAATTAGAATGAATTTGTGTGTAAACATGTAATTATTACGTAAATATTATTTACATATGTATATTAGAAAAATATCGTCTTAATGTTTAAATAAACATTCCTCCATACAAATCAGTACCTATCATTAATAGTATTGTCTTATGTGTTGAATACAATGCTCGCGACAGACTGCAAACGATATCTGTCAAATATTAAAATACACACGTTCTTATGGACGGACCTATTTTGATAGCTGCACGACTACACGACGGCAGGCCGACAGTTGTCGTTCTCGCTAACTTCAATTTTATCCTATATTTGCCAACGACAGTAGGATGACAGTAGAATGGAAGATAGAGAGATGAGGTAGAGTGGTGATGCCACTAATATGTAAAATGTAAAATTACTCMAAGCTCTAAMAAACCTAATGTTATTTTACAAATAAAAGCATAAAATAGCTCTGTTACATCATTTATAATAACAATTGATAATTTAAAAGAAACAAATTTACCTATTTACTTATTTTTTGCTTAAAAATTTCACTTTGAACAAAATATTAAAATTTCATTGAAGTGCAAGGTATTAGTATGGCCACAACGAAATTGTGTACATGCAAAATGGACAACTGCGTTGTTTTGTGTACATGCTGGCCATTGTTATGTTGCTGCCCCCTCACAAACGTTCTTGTAGTAAGATTCACAACGCCATTTTCAGTTCATTGTCGTGCTGCTGCAGTCTGTCGCTAGCATTGTGTTTCATACATCAGATGAAACGCCTTTCTGCATGGTGACATGCCATCGTAGTAACTGCGAGGTTGGACGTAGAGCGGAACCACATTGTGTTGTTGGCAAAACATTTAGTTCTAATAAATGTTGAAAAAACAAACCAAATGAAAACTTTACCAATACATACATATGAGCTCAATATGTATGATGTTGAATTTTTGCAGTGCTTTGTAATTGAAAAATTACTTCTGCTGCTTTTGTATTAATGTTCTAAAACAAAATGTATGAAATAATGATAATGTTAACATATAAGAGGACTATATGGAATGTGCTTAGAACAAATAGAAACAATAAAGAATTTTATACAAATGGCAATTTTTTACAAATTGTATAACTTAATATCGTATATAGTGCATAATATGAAATAAATAAAATCGTCGGCCCTATTCCCATTGGCGTTTTAATTGTCACTTCCAAGTTGTTGTCGTTATTATCACCATTTCGTATGTATTCGTTAAGTATATCGTAACGTCAAAGAAGTTATCGAGATTTTAAAATAAAACCAAGAAACGCCATGTAAAATACGGTTTATGGTAGTATTTTCTGTAGCAATTGTAAAACGGAATTTTTGGTTTGTTTGTTCAATTTTACTGGGATCACTAATTTTATTTAAACGTAATTTTTGTGAGAAGGAATTCCATATAAAAACGAATTGTTGTTGACCAGGCGCACAGAAAAAAATCGCGGCGTAGAGTTATAAACGAACGCATTTGGCTTCATTGCATGAGCGTGATCCTTCTGAACGAATTTCGTATGGTTTTTATTTGAAACATTAAGAAAGTATGGTGAAATTTTCCTTAATACATACATCTTCCAGGTGCCAGGGGGTGAACATTTTCTTGGTTTCTTCTATGTTGTGTAGTTTAATGAATTCTTTTGTGTAAGGGATTATATTGTTCACTTCTCTTATAAAGCGAAGAATGTTTCTATTTGACGTGGTATACTTTCATTCGAACTTCTGCTTTTTCTATTTCTCTTATAATATTTTACATTTTAGACAGATAACATTTTCTCTATTGATTAACATTCTCTCAATTTCTCCAATAGCAATAGTTTATGGAAATGTTCCATCGTCTCATTTTAGTAAAAAAGAAAATACTTCCTTATTTATAAAAACCTTAACATATAAATCTTCAAAGTTGAATTAACTGTTGTTTCTTTCTCAAAAATCTGGGACAAATATTCTGAGGCCCCGTTTTGTTACAAAAAAAAAGACAGCTTTGATCAGACACTGGATGAATCTCCGAGGCTTAGTGAAGGTTGCGGAAGGAACTAGATAAATACATATAGCCATTTCATTATATTATATTTAAAAAATCTTTCAAGTCCTGTCGAAACATTTCTTAAAGGTGCATATTTTTTAGTTTTACAAAATAGAATACTCTTGGTTTCATTAAAAGACTTGAAGGTCTGATAAAACACCTACCTTGATTTTTTCCATTTAAAGTAATAAGTTTTCAACACAAGTATTTGTGTATTAAAATAGCACACATTTTTTTTCATAGTTTATAATGAAGTGAGTTGTGCAAAAGTTACGATGTTTAATGATATCGGAAAATTAAGTTACATAAATATATATGTTACACATTATATTTCGATATTTAATTTTTTATTATCTTAATATGAACCTTGGTGATGTTGATATTGTTGAACATTCATATTTTGTTGATTCGGTAATTGTCGTTGAAGTTGAGCGACTAAATTTGGAGTTTGTTGCTGGTTTATATTTTGATTTTGAGATTGCACCATTCCACCTAAAAGTAGAAAGTTTTCATCAAATGGTTACGAAATTCTGAAATCCACAGGCTAGTCTTGGCCTAAACATATAATGAAAAATTATTATCTCACACACTTTTAACTAGCTAATATATGAATATTTATATAAATGTTTATTTCTTTAGCTTAGGTTTGTTTTAGGTTATGCTACTAATACAATCCAAATTTTTTGTTGAGACCGTTACTAAAGATTTGTGTTAAAATACCTATTTGCGAAACATAAAAGTACTAAAGCCTAAAATTAATTTTAAGAATATGTATTATCTGGACGAATGGGAATTTGGAAATGTGAAGAAAACGCTTAGCAACTACCTGTACTGGTTTTTAACTCTGGGTTGTCTATCGCTATACAAAGGTACATCAAATCAAAGGCAATAATATTCAATACTAAAAATTATAATATAAAACACTCTCCGCTCATTGGCATCGGATGTATAATATGGAATATTTATATATAAATGAAAAATTATTTAAAAAATTAAACAATAAATAGTTTTGTTTACCTTGAATTTGCATCATTTGGTGATGTAATCGCTGCTGTTGAAATTGCTGCTGTGTCGAAACTACACTCGGCTTTCCACCTGTACATTGTTGCCTTGAATAAGGCTGTATAGTATTCTGTCCTATAATATTTCCCATGGTTACATTGGGAGTTGGATTGACAAACTGACCACGATTATTAGTAACAGGATTAGTTCCCCGTTGTTGGAGATAATCTGATGAACCGCTCCTCTGGTTCATTTGATTGTAGGAGCCTACCATGTTGGAGGGTGGAACCTGGCTATTTCCACCATTATTCATAATTCCAGATTGTTGATACTGATTAAAATTATGAAATGGATTCGTTGGTTGATTAATGATGTTTTGATTCGAATTTCCACCTCCTATGTTAACATTTTGCTGTAAAACATTTCCTGACCCTACCAATCCAGATGCAGATTGAACATTCATCAAGTTGTTTTGATTATTTGATGACGTATTTATGATACCTGTATTTGGGGTCATTGGCATTGTTTGATTACTAGCTTGTGAGTTTACATTTTGGGCGCCCTGCTGCGTAGCCAGGATTCCGTTTGCATTTAATCCCTGAGGCATATTACCAATATTACTTGTTAGCTGGTTCTGATTTGACGCTATTCCTCGCATCCCTCCTCTAACGAATTGCTGTTGGACGGAGTTAACAGCACCTTGCGGTTGTAGTCCCTGTGTCTGTCGTATTTGTTGATGCTGCTGAAGAGCGTTAAATGATGATGAATTATTTTGATTAAAGTTAGGTTGACGCTGCCGAAGCATATTACATAAAGCCTGCTTAGATTGATTATGTTGCGGGCGCTCAAAACGATTTGCTATTTAACGAGAATTAAAAGAGAATTAATGAGAAGTATATATCTATGGCCCATAGGCGCTTCTATTTAGGCATTGTATAATAAATATATAAGTTAAAAAATATTTGCACACCTTGATGTGGATAAAATTGTGGTTGTTGCTGCATCTGGTGGTATTGATTTTGTCCTATCCATTGTTGTTGATTTTGACCAGTTAATTGTGTTACTCCCTGAGGCACGTTTCCCATAAAACCAATTTGTGTATTTTGAGCATTGCCAAGCTGCTGTAAATTACCTTGCATTTGTTGTTGCATCATCATCGCAGAATTTTGTTGAAGGAGTTGATTAGAATTAAATTGTGGAACAGGAGCCTAAAATGCATATGGAAAAATTTCACTTTTTAAATACTATTCGGAACATACATAT